GGTAGCTTCACTACCCACTCACAGATGGTTGTGAATACGCGACCTGGTCATGTCTGTACAGAGCTGCCCACACATCATGGTATGCACATGCCTGCAAATACTCAGACGCATGGCCACATCTACATTTGTAGTCCCAAATGCCCTACTACATACAAGGCCATTCCAGGCATGGCTATGCTCAGTGTACCGTCCCAGGCACCATCTACTCCACAAGACGCTCCATGTACCTAACCGAGTCAAAGCCACCCTGAACTGGTGGATAGACAGAAACAATATCTGTTTAGGACTTCTGTTTCAGGCACCAACGCCATCCGTTACCATTACAATGGATGCGTCCCTGCTGGGATGAGGAGCCCATATGGGGAGCGTGGTGCTATAGTGACAATGGACAGGCAAAGAGTCCCAGCTTCACATCAATGTATTGGAGCTCAGAGCAGTGAGGAGAGTGTGCTCACAACTGCTCGCTCACATACAAAACAAAGCCATGAGTCTATTGTTGGACAATGTTGCAATGATATACTACATAAACAGATGGGGGGAGTGCGAGAGCTCACAGCCTATGCAGAAGCAGTGAGACTATGGCAATGGTATATTGTGCACAACATGACACTTACCGCAATGCATTTTCCGAGCAAGAACCATGTACTAGCCCCCATACTGCTCCAGGGGCGGGCATTGGACCGTGATCCCTAGGGGACGTGTTTGCAGTCCGCTGGGATTTCTCATTGGTGTACACATTTCCATCTATACCGCTCATATAACAGACAGTACTAAAGATCAAACAGGATGCAGCCAAGGTCATCCTGGTAACTCCCACCTGGCCGAGACAGACTTGGTACCGTACCATACTGCAACTCAACACACATCACCCGTACAAGTTTCCCCCGATACAAGCTCTATTAACTCAAGACAGAGGACGCATACTACATCTTGGGCTCCACACACTCAACCTGCAAGCGTGGATGCTTGTTGGCTGTCAGACAGCAAGCTAACCCTGTCTCAAAGGGTCAGAGCCATCCTGATTAATTCCAGGAGACTCACGACGAGACAAGACGGATTTACGTGCATAAGTGGGTCCAATTTGCAGCCTGGAATTCAGCTCATGCATAGGTTCCACACAGGGCGAGATCTCAGCTAGTTGGGAGTTACCTCATAGGGCGGGGATATCGGACATACTAGAGTACGTCCTCTACCTGCAGGACACAGGGCTATCAATTAGTTCCATCAACGTACATTTGGCAGCTATATCAGTACTACACCTACCAATCCTAGGGCATTCCACTTTTTCCCACCCATGTGTTAAGAGATCTGAAAGGCATACGAAATCTGTGTCCACCATGTAGAGACCCAGTGCCATCACAGGATTTGAACCTTGTGCTGGACTCAATCATGAGACGACCTTTCAAGTTGCTCGCAACTTGCTCACTATTCCACCTATTAATGAAAGTAGCCTTTCAAATAGTGATAGTATCAGCCAGGCGAGTGGGAGAGATAGTAGCACTCATGGCGGACCCACCATACACGGTGTTCCACAAAGACAAGGTTGTCCTCAGAACCCACCCAAAAATTCCTTCCCAAGATACCAACCTCATTCCATTGTAATGAACCAATATACCTGTCTATGTTCTTCCCAAAACCACATGAGGACAGCAACCAGGCAGCGCTACACATGCTGGATGTATGCAGGGCATTAGCCTTCTACCTAGAACGCACAAAAGACTTCCGCCGAACACCCAGACTATTTGTGTCAGGTGCAGGACAGGTCCAGAGGTCAACCTGTTTCTGAACAGAAAATATCCAAATGGATCTCTGCATGCATACAGCTGGCCTAATCCCAGAAACACAGACAGCCACCAACAGTTGTACAGGTACATTCCACAAGATCAGCGTCTACCACGACTGCTTTCCTACCGATAGACATTATCTGCAGAGCAGCAATATGGGCTTCGGCCAATTCTTTTGCGCAGCATTACGCAATTCAGATCTTTGAGGATACGGACACTAGCTTTGGACATACAGTCCTGCATCATGAAGCACCCACCACCACGCAGGAACACTGCTGCATAGTCACCTAAGTGGAGCACCCCAGGGATCCTCGAAGAAGAAGGGAAGGTTACTCACCTTGTGCAGTAACTGGAGTTCTTCGAGATGTGTCCTCGTGGCTGTCAACACCCATCTTCATTCCTTCTGCTCCAGTCTAGGAGAGTCCGGCATAGAAAAGAAATGAAGGGAATGGCCGCTGGCGCATGTGTAACTGTCATTTTAGCAATTGCACAATAGCACAGCACACACCAGAAGCCGGGAGACTGCTAGCAAGAATCTCCAGGCCCTTGTGCACAGCAGCGCTGACACACCTAGGTGGAGCACTCACTGGAATACATCTCAAAGAACTCCAGTTACTGCACAAGGAGAGTAACCTTCCTGTAGAGTTCATGTTTTTGGAGTTGGGAGTTGCCTGACTCCTAATGCTTTCCATTTTGTATTTGGATTTTTGCAGATTGTGGCTCTTTAGAATGACTCTACAGTTATGTCTTACTCAGAGGTGGCATTTTTATTTTAAAGGGGTTGGTAGCTTTGCCTTTGTCCAAAATGGTCTGTTATTTCCAATGTTCCAGATCTCACAGCAGACCCAAGTCACAACAGCCTCTCCTGGTAGCTCTGAATCACCAAGGTGGTAGAGAATGTGGAATAGTAACCACTGCTATTACTTCACACTGTGTCCCTCAAAGGAGTTTATCGGTTATCTTATTAGCAAGAGGTTGAGATTCGTAGAGCTGTCATGGCATTTTATCCTGTTATGCATTTTTTCTACATGATCTGAATAAGACTTGGTTAAGGGGATTTTAATTTGAAAACTTGGTCTCACCGTCATTCCTTTCAATGACTATATGCTACCTCTTCCAACGGAGGGAAATAATGACACTAGCCTTCCTTTTCCAGAAAAATTTTCAGGAGAACTGACCAGATTGAGGCTTGTTAGATACTTTTATTCCCAGAGATGTGTAAAGCATAGCTATTCCCAAACTGATTTTTAGACTGGGATTTGTCCTGTAAATAGACCTTCTATTAGTATGTTATAGCAAAAGGCTTTAATCCCTTTGGTTTAGGGCTCTGAAAGAACCTTCTGATAAAAAGATGGACACTCGCGAGTAGAAACGTTTTTTTAAAGCTTTACTACTATTGTGCATGTAGCCTGTGCTTTCAGGCCTGTTGTAACTGGGAGTTTGGCTTTGCATTACTTTGAATCAATATCACCGGACCACCAACGTGAATCTTACATTAAATTTACAAAAAAACAGAGATCACCACTATACGCACTTGGTTTTTTTCCAACTGTTCCTGAAGAGTGGGTTTTGTACACACAGAGACACACCCTCCCTTCAAGAGTAGTTGAAAATATAATTACGTATGCTGAGTAATAATTAAACTTTCCAGTTCTTATTTAGGCTTGAGAACTTATTTGTGCATATAGCAAAGTGGGCTTCTATTTGAACATTCTATGGATTGTTATCTGATCAAGTGAAGTAGAACAGATGATCTCTACAAAAGCTTATTCCAGAATCAGCTGGAATATTCTACAATGGACACATCATAATTCTCTCTCAATAGGGACTTCCATTTAAGAAAACAAGAAGGCGCAAAAACATGCTGCCTGTCTACACTGGCGGGGAGTTCTTGCACAAGAACATTGACGTTCCAATGTGTGAAATCATAGTTCTTGTGCAAGAAGCACTGATGCTCCCGCTCAGGAATAAGCCCTCTTGCGCAAGTGTTCTTGCGCAAGAGGCCAGTGTAGACAGGCAACATGAATTTCTTGTGCAAGAAAGCCCGATGGCTAAAATGGCCATCGGAGCTTTCTTGCGCAAGAGAGCATCTATCTACACTGGCACAGATTCTCTTGTGCAAAAGCACATCTCTTGCACAAAGGCATATGCCAGTGTAGATGCTCTCTTGCGAAATACTTTAATGCAAGAACTCTTGCATTAAAGAGTATTTGCACAAGATCATGCCAATGTAGACATAGCCTTAGGTTCAAATGGAAGTCTCATTTAGATATTATCCACACAAAACTGTAGGTCCCAAGAGGTGAAAGAGGTGCAAAAATGTGCCTGGATTTAGGTTAGTGGTTATTGTCACTTTACCCCTGAAAATTTCAGCATTAAAACAATTTTAAATTAGCTACAATTAAAGTCATGTTATGTAAACAAGGATGAAGAAACCAGATATATTAAATGACTACTGAAAGTTCTTTCTAAGGTAGAGGAGCATTTTACAATGCGAGTTAAAAGAGAGAAAGGAAAAACAAAACCACAATTTCAATAAAAACACAGCTGGGCTCAACTATAAAATAATTAACTCGAGAAAGTATTTCCTTCCAGGTGCTTTATCCTAGGGATTCCTACAACAGCCTTTCTTGCTTCTGCCAAGAATCATTATTTTAAGTAATAGCACAAAGGACCAGCATATGTTTATCTTGCACTTTCTTTGAAATTACTGATGCCTGCCCTGCTAGTGTAGACTCATACATCATGATTCACAGATTTGATCTAAGTCTGGCTCCAGAGCTATAAACACAAATGAATTGTTTGGGAGGGGGAGGGGGAAGCTCCAGAGTTGCTATTGTCTTTCCTGGTCAGGTTTTAAAACTTGTAAATAAAACAAGTCCATGTTCTAAAAATGCAATACTTCCTTAACATGCCTCAATATAGGTCTGCTGTTTGCTATAGCGACTCCTCATCCTGTGTCCCACATTACCATAGGGAAGGTGAATAAAAAGTGAAATTGTTTGGCACACTGATGACTAGTGTTGCACTTCATAGCACTACAAAGCACCAGCTGTAGGTAGGATTGGCTCCTTTTAAAACAACTGCAAAGTGTAGTCAGTCACTCAGGGTGGAATTGATAAATTGTATCAATACAGTTACCACTGTAAAACACATGTGCTGTAAATGGTACCATATTAATGAGCTTTCCAGCTCTCAAAGATCCAAAGCAAGGGAGACAGTGTGTGCATTTTATTTAATACAAAGCTTAATTGCAAAACATTACATAAAATGAAATGAAAGGAGATTGCCTATCTCCTAGAGCTGGAAGGGCTCTTGAAAGTTCAATGAGTCCAGTCCGCTGCCTTCACAGCAGGACCAAGTACCATCCCTGACAGATTTTTGCCTCAAATCCCTAACTGGCCTCCTCAATCCTGGGTTTAGCACGGTTATATCCAGTTAAATGTCCCTTTTAAGCAGGGGTGGGCAAACTTTTTGGCCCAAGGGCCACCTCAAAGTATGGAAATTGAATGGAGGGCCATGAATGCTCACAAAATTGGGGCTGGATATGGGAGGGGGGTATGAGCTCTGGCTGGGGTGGGGCTAGAAATGAGTTCAGGGTCTAAGCTGGGGCAAGAGGTTGGACTGCGGGAGGGATGAGGGTTCTGGCTAGATCTGTGTGCAATAGAGTAGGGCCAGAGATGAGGGGTTTGGGGTGCAGGAGGGTGTTCTGGACTGGATCTGAGGGGTTTGGAGGGTAAGAAGGGGGATTAGGGTTGGGGTAAGGGGGTTGGGATGTGAGGGCGGGGGTTAAGGGGCGCAGGCTATGGGACATGCTTACCTCCTCAAGCAGCTTTCAGAAGCAGACACATATCCCCTTCTGGCTGTTTCTACGCAGAGGTGCAGCCAGGTGGCTCTGTGTGCTGGCCCCCTTGTCTGCAGGTGCCACCCTGCTTTGGTGGTGGTGGTGGGGGTGCTTTGGTGCATAGGAGCTGAAGGAGGGACATGCCACTGCTTCCAGAAGCCACGTGGTGCCAGAATGTGCGCAGAAGGGCAAGTGCCTGACCCTGCTCCCCAGCAGTAGCTGGAGGGCTGGCTTAAAATGACTGAGGAGCCGGATGCAGTCTGAAGTTTGCCCACCCCCCTGCTTTTAAGAAATTTTTCTTTTCCAATAATTTACCATAATGGTCACAGGAGTATTTTTATACTAATGGTAGTCTGAGCATAATCATTTAAGGAAAATATCACTTAGGCATCCCTGAGAAAGTAACTGATTTGAAACAATGGGGTTTTTTTAGGTGCATCTCTGGGTACAAGAACTGTTCCCAGCAAGTTGTCAGGGACAGAATAGGGGACTGCTCTCTAATGAGCTTTAGGAAGGGTGGGCTCAATGTACACCACGTGTAGAGAAGTGTTAACCACTTTAGACAAACACTTAGAAAATGTCTCTGCTCTGTTTCTAATAAAGTCTGTCGCTGTAACCTATGGGAGATTCATCATACAAAACAATTTAAATGCCAGATCTTTTTCTAGCACTCAGAAGCAATACATGACAACATCCAGCTTTTCTGATACTGCTGAGAAACAGAAAAACAGTTCATATTGATAGCAGAGCCTCAGTTTGCAAGTTCCGTAACTTTTGCCAGCTGCTCCAATGTTCTTTTCACTCTTGCTGTTGAGTGGGATGATTACATGTCATCAATTCCTTTATGTTATTTCCATTTTGTGTTCACCCAGCTTAGTGTGTAACAGCTACTTGCATTGAAGGCCTCCTTTTTCAGAAACAGCTGTGGTTTCGATAAGTCTTTGTAGGTGTGGAAAAGCCTGAAATCCTTCAGTTCTAATTCTTTCAGAAGACTGTACCAGTATCGGACCACCATGCTGTCATTGCCACTGACCTCAAATCCAGGCCAATGAACGTGGACTTCAAAGACCAACTGTCCTATCTGTTCAACAATGTTTTCCAGAATCAGGTTTTCCAAAATCTTCCACTCAGCACTTTCCATATCTGCCTTGAGCACATCAATCTGAAACACAAAGCTAATTACTTTATGAAAAAGACAGACTGTGCAATTGCTGTTGATAACCATCTTAAGTGCCAGGCTTTTCAATTTCATTCAATTTTACTTAATCATTCTTGAGTGTGGCTGTTTTTGTTTAGAAGTCCCAGCATCTCCTGGGGATAATTGAACCAGTTTTTGAAGTTTAATAATTGCTTGTTCATAGCTTCCCCTCCCCAATTCCCCCTACTCAACTCAATTTTAAATGCTTTGCAGTCTGAGGCTTCCAATGAGGAGTACTAATGAGGCACTTAAACCATCATATTTTATTATTCCTTTATAAATCCTGTGAGCCTCTCAAAGTTAGAGGGGTGAAAAACACATGCTGCTATGCAAAGATACTCATACTTTTCTCTAGCATTGACTAAAGAAAGTGCTATTTGTCCATTACTTTCTTAAACATTACAACATCCAGCAAACTCCTGTAGCAGATGTTATGTTTGTTTGTACAGTAATAGCACTGGGGTCCACAATTGGGGACACACGCACACTCTCTCTCACTCTCTCTGCCCTCCAAGCATACAAGAAGAAAACAGCTGCCTTTGGCAGAGTAACAGTGAAATTATTCATTGGTTTTATTATGGGACTGTTTCCCAAACCTAACAAATTATTGTGGATAGTCTGGACCTAAGATATTGGAGGCAAGGTGGGTGAGGCTTTTATAGGACCAACTTATGCTGGCGAGAGTTGATTTTGCATATAGATAACATGAGAGCCTGTTACACTGAGTGCCTTCTCAAAGCTCCCCTTTGTCATACATGCTTGCTTTCCCCAGGGATTTAGGGACATTCACATACTTTGCATTCAGTGAGCTCTGCTATGACTGGCAGAAAGAGCTTTCTTTTTCTTGCATAACTGAAGTCTCCACATGAGAGGCCCCAGCCTAGAGTTGCAGGGAGTGTTACAGGTCAGGAGTGCGCCACTCTGGCAAAAGGTTGTGAGGGAGCTGTTAAAGCTGGTGCTGTGCTTTGGCTGCAGGAAGTGCTGCTTGTCCCTAGTTTTCATATGCATTAAAAGACTATTCCTATGTGCCTGAATGAATGTGCAATATGTGTACAGCTTACATTTTAAACCTTGCTGAACAAACCCTTGAAAGACCTATCAATACTAGTAACATCTCTTTAGTGCATGACAGAGTAAGTATGGTTTCTGAAGATGATGCCTTCTAGATTCTTATTGTTAATTAGTAGTGTATATTTACTATAGGCTTTCTAGCATCACTGAAAAAAAAATCTGTTTTTTTTTCAGGAGTAACTTTAAAGCAATTTTTTTCATTTTGTGGAAAGAAAGATTTGAGTGGAATTTAATTCTTTTTTGTCAAAGGTTATATGTCTTCACTGAAGCAAACTGCTATGGGATTTGTCTTTCAGAAAAAAAGTCCTGGCTAAGGAGAAAAACACATGCGTTTCACAACGCCCATATGGGAATCGGTATTCTTTTTTCCCCCCAGCTCTGTTGCTGTGACACTTGGATGGTTTTGTTTAAAGTATTAACGTTCTTAACCTGAATACTAGTGTCTATAGCAGCAGGTAAGCTAGGATTTAACTTTCAGCAGAAATTTCAGAACGTCTTTTAACATGTAATAGAGGAGGCTGTGTCTTAGCTGCACTGGAAGGCGTTTCTGAGAGCTCATTTCAAGTATTATACTTCCCTCCAGTTGAGATCTTTTATTTTAAAAACCCCAGGCATACTTTGTATGTTCAAATAATATCAGGCACATCGATGGGTTCCTAGCCATACTGCAGATGCAGCCAATATGTTTTGCCATTGGTTGCAATGGGGCAGCACTTCACCCATGAGGCTTTAAAATGAAAAGCACCCATGCAATTAAGCGTGACATTTACTTTTTTCTTCTTACCTATTAGTTATTCTGTGTTATTGTTTGGTTTAGTTAGGTGGTTTAGTCCATTTTAAAATGAGTGCCAGCTCCCCGGTGCTAATAAGGAACCTCACAACAATAAGGCAGTAAGTACATGTGATGGAGAAAAATACTTCAGCCGGGAAATATATTTGTTTCAAGCCTTCCAAGGATTGTTCTAAGCAAGAAGTTATGACAAATATTTTCGAGTATTATTTTCAGATTTTGTCCTTTCACCTCCTGTTTTTGCCTGGATATTGCAGCTCCTGAGGCATGCCAGTGCTACCACAATGCTTGCTATAAGGGAAAATGAGATAAGTGAAATGTTGTGTTTTTTTATAGGTGTTTGCATTTTCCTGTTTGTGGGCTTAATGTCAGTCAGATGGTGCTTTTCCCTTTCAGTCTGTTCTGGACAATTGTCCCAGCATGGTAGTGGAGGTGTGCCTTCTAGTGGATGAGACTTAAAACCAAGGCCTTGACCATTTGTGGCTATTAAGATCCCATGGTCTTTTTTGTAAGCATAGGACTCCACCACAGCATTGAACTTAAATGGGGCAACTATAGCAGCCACTAGTCTCCAGCTATCCAGTCAGTGCTTAATTTGTGTTGGGGCTTGTAGCACCTCTTTCATTACAAATTAAGCACTGTCTCCATTTCACTCCCTCTGAAATGTGTTGGGTTTGTTTTGAAAGGGAGTGTTGCTTTTTTCTGCATACCTGGGAGTAGGCGCAGGGGAGAGACTGGACCTAGGACAGTGAGTTAAAAAAGGTATGACTAGGACTTGCTGGGCAAGCAGACTAGAGAGAGTTAAATGCAGCTGTGAAGGACTGAATCCTACCCCATCTCTACCATGCAGTTCCCATGTGGTGCTAGGCAGGGTACTTAAACCAAAGTTCCCATGGGGAGGGTCACTAATTGCATAGCCCTCATTTTCAAAGTGCTTGTTTTAGGCCCTGGTGTCTGACTTGCAGCTGAAAATAAGGGAGTGGTAACCATGCTTTGAACATAAGAAGTGCTATGCCATGTTACTCATGGAAAAATCGGGTCCCAGGTGTATTTAATTCAGCACCTCAAACCAGTGGATACTTTTGACCTTAATCTCTGTGCCTTAGTTTCTAATATATAAAATTGGGATAATGATGATACTTCCTCACAGCAGTACTCTGAAAATAAATTAATAAAATGTTTGTGAAACATTCAGATACTTTAGTGGTAAGCACTACAGAAAAGTCCATGATGAAACTAATAATTATATCTCTAAAGCCAGTTTTAATAGTGTATAGTAAATAAAGCCTACAGCCCCACACTGAACAATGAGGAGAAAATAAAATATTGAATAGCTGTTCATTAAGTGAGTATTGTCCATCCTGACTTCTGAATGAGGCCAAAGCAACAGTAGGGAAAAATAGTATGTGACCATGTATTTAAAGACTACATCATAATGCAGCTGCACAAGGGGGCCAAATGAAGGATGCACAGATAATGTCAATTCTGGCACTTCCTAATTTTCATTCTTTGATTTTGCTACCTTTAATATAACATTTTGTATGTAATAGTTTAAGTATCAGTTTGCTTGAGAAAAGTTTTAGAATCTGTCTGCGTTATGCACTGTAAATTATACTTCCTTAACCGGTTATGGGATTTCAGTAGAAAAGTAAAGGGAAGAACACTCTAGCATCTAGCCCCTCTTCATAAATTCAAATAGCTGCTGCTTTTCCAGAATATATATACAAAATTCACCTTGCTATATTTTTGTAGATAATTTACCGTCTAAACACGTATGATCATTATAGGACTACACTGCAGCAGTGCCTTATACACACTGACTTTAACTTAATGGGACTGCTGTAACTTTTTAAATAGAGAAGTTGTCTGTTTTGAAAACTTTCCAGAAAAATTGCTGCTTGGCTCCGTTCTCTCATTTTCCTACTGTTTTTGCCCGACAGTGGTATAGTTGGAGGTCACTCTGTCATAATATATTTGCAGTTATTGCCTAAAAAATATTAATAGCCCTGTAACTGCATTGGCTGAACAGCAGGCAGCCTGCACATTCTGTTCTGCTTCCATAAACTGCATTGAAATGTGGCTGTTAACTCATTTTATCCTGCAGAAGAGTTGGTTTCTAAGCCACAATAAGGGCTCCACATACTGGAAGGATCAGAAATGTGATGCTAACAGGGCAGGCAACAGCCACCCAGAAGGTGCCACGTGGTACTCTGGCGGGGATTTCAAGGGCTCAGGAAACTTTGACCCAGGGCATGGTGATTCAGTTCAACTGCCTTATTCTCCCTCACCCCATCTGGGTCCTTATTGGCAGGCCTGAATGCTAGGGATGTGATATACACAAAGCTAAGAAATTCAGTGTTTTTAATTGCTCAGGCAAAGACACAGAAAAATATACATATGTTCACTTACCTCCTGCTCAGGTGCAACTCTGATTGTCCTACTAGCTACTATGTACCAAGGGCTAAATCCAGCGTTTAAGATACTTATATAACCAGGACTGTCCCTGGGGGTGTGGAGTACAGGACAAACTCCCCTCCCTCCCCCCAGCTCCCACCCCAGCTCTTCCCACCCCCCTTGTATCCTTTCCCTGAAGACCTGGCCCCAGAGCTATGTGACCTGGGGGATTACTGAGGGCCTGGCATGGTGTGGCAGCAGAGGTCAGCCCTTCCTCCTCCTGTGGGAGCTGCAGCAGCAGTGGAGCAACCCAGGAGTCTGCTCTGCTCTGCTGCTAACTCCCAATCAGATTGCTGTGTTTTATGGCGGGGGTGGGAAGTAGAGTACATTGCTCCAGGGAATGGAATGGACTGGAGCACGCCAATTTCTGCTACCATGAGTGAAGCAAAATGACCTGACTGGGAGATTGTGGCAGAGCTGAGCAGGCTGCTTTATCACACCAGGTCCTGGGCTCCTGCTGCCACAGTGAGTGCAGTAGGCCCTGATCCCTGCTGCTGCTCTGGACCGGTCCCCTCCTCCCACAGGTAATCCTCAGGCCCCATGCACTCCCATCAATATGGGGGACCATTCCATCTATAGGACGGTTGGGGTGGCTGCCACGGGGCACCCTACTGTGCATGGCCTCAAGTGGCTGCCTTGAATTGTCCTA